AAGAGAAATGAATGTGTGTGTGTGTGTGTGTGTGTGTGTGCGTGCGAGTGTGTGTGTGTGTGTGTGTGTGTGTGTGTGTGTGTGTGTGTGTATGTGTGTTTTACCAAAATCTCTAATCACGGAACGTGCAATTAAGTTGCGTGTGGATTGATTGTTTGTCGCACCATAATGCTCTGGTTTTGTTGATTACTTCCGTGTCTGGTCATTTCTAATCGGTCTTGTACTGGCGAGCCCGCATTTTCACCCTACTGCATTAAACAGCATTTTACAACGATTACAAAACGAAGTGGGAGCTGTGTTCATGCCATGGCAAACATATTATGTGGGTTGATGGCGGATAATCTGGTGTGGTTGCTCCTTCTTTTCTATCGTCATTATCTCTCCTCCTTCAGTATTGTGTTGTTACTCTCGTATGACACATCTGATCTTGGGCACTTATGTCTCTCAATTGTGTTGCAAGAACTGTAAAACTCTTACTGAAACTAAACGCTAAAAAGGTAGAAAATAGAAAACTGTGCTTCTTCTTTCCTATCAAACTTCTATCGTCCTGATCTCCCCTTCATCTTTTTTATGTTTGTTACTCTCTTGTAACAGCTCTAATCTTCTGGCGCTCATATGACCTTATGCAGTTGCGAGCGCTGTAAAACCTCTACTAAAACTAAAAACTAAAAACTGTTCTTTCACTTTGGCTCTTTTTCTCTTATAGTAAGGCATGGTAACCGCCATCTGTGGTGTAACGTTGAGGCGCTTCCCTATCGCACGCAGGAGACCTGTGTTCGATTCCCGAGTTGGAAGAACTCTTTAGTCGAGTATCATGATCTTTCTGTTGGGATGTTGTATCACTCTCAACTCGGGTTGGCTCTGTTCGCCTTCTAAATGATCGAAATTTACTTCTTTTTTTTTTAAAGTGTACGATACGGCATGGGCTCTTTCCTTGCTCATCTTTGCTATATAATTTCAAAGACGGGTGCTTCAGTTCAAATTTCCGTCTCCAGTTTGACTGACTCGTGTGAGTGAAGAGTGGTGATCGAGAACTCTCGAAATGCCACAGGTTTAAGAGCCCTTTAAAAAAAAGAAATTCTTTTTATGGAGAGATAACGGAGCCGTCGTTGGTTTGTTCCTTCTTGATCTATCTATCTATCTATCTGTCTATCTATCTATCTACCTACCTACCTACCTACCTACCTACCTACCTACCTACCTACCTACCTACCTA